ATTGAAAGCTCTAATTTTAACCCACACACCTATGAACACTTGATTTTTGACAAAGAAGCTAAAACTGTACAATGGAAAAAAGAAACCATCTTCAACAAATGGTGCTGGCATAACTGGCTACTGGTATGCAGATAGATCCATGTTTATCACCTTGTACAAAACTTAAGTCCAAATGGATCAAAGATCTCAACATGAATCCAGCCACACTGAAACTTTTAGAAGAGAAAGTGGGAGATATTATTCAACGAGTTGGTACAGGAGACCATTTCCTAAACATAACACCAGTGGCACAGGCACTGAGATCGACAATTAACAAATGGGACCTTCTGAAACGAAAAAGCTTCTGTAAGGCAAAGGACACAGTCAAAAAGACAAAAAGGCAGGCCACAGAATGGGAAAAGATATTCACTCACCCTACATCTGACAGAGTGCTAATCTCCAAAATTTACAAAGAACTCAAGAAACAAGTCTCCCAAACACCAAAGGATCCATTGGAAAGGTGGGGTACAGAACTAAATAGAGAATTCTCAGTAGAGGAGGCTAAAATGGCCAAGAGACACTTGAGAAAGTGTTCAACATTCTTAGCCATCAGGGAAATGCAAATCAAAACAACTCTGAGATACCATCTTACTCCTGTCAGAATGGCTAGAATCAAAAACACCGAAGGCAATTTATGCTGGAGAGGATGTGGAGAGAGAGGAACACTCCTCCACTGCTAGTGGGAGTGCCGACTCATACAGCCTCTTTGGAAATCAGTATGGAGATTCCTCAGGAAAATGGGAATTAATCTACTGCTAGACCCAGCAATTCCACTCTTAGGCATTTATCCAAATGAGGCAGGTTCATACAACAAGGGCATCTGCTCCACTATGTTCATAGCAGCATTGTTTGTAATAGCCAGAACCTGGAAGCTACCTAGATGCGCCTCAACTGAAGAGTGGATAGAGAAAATGTGGTACATTTACACACTGGAGTATTACTCAGCAGAAAAAAATAATGGAATCTTGAAATTCGCAGGGAAATGGATAGCACTGGAAGAAACCATCCTGAGTGAGGTAACCCATTCGCAAAAAGACAAACATGGCATGTACTCACTTATATATGGATTTTAGACATGGATCAGTATAGTGCCAGTCTGCACTTCCACTGATAGAGAGTCTGGGAAACAGGAAAGTACCTAAAATACAGGCATATATGCATAGTACCCAAGAGAAGAGGATGGAGACAAGATCCTCTGAATGGATGGGGAACACGGTGAGGGGGGGGAGTGGGACCTGGGAAGAAGAGAGGGGGTGAAGAGGAAGGGAGTTGGTCAAGTGGGAACAGGAAGTTGAGGGGGTGGGGGTAAAATAGGGGGAAGAGGGAATCATAGGTTCGAAGACAGATCAGGCACCAGAGTGACCTTGAGTGATCTAAAGGGATAACACCAATTGACAAGCTAAGCAATAGTGGAGGGACCACCTCGAATGCCCATCTCTGATAATGAACTTGATGTCTATAACCATCCAGGAGCCTTCATCCTGTGACTGATGGAAGCAGAGGCAAACACCTACAGTTAAACACTGAACTGAACCCAAGGAACCCAGTGACAGAGAGAGAGGTGTGATGAGCAAATTGGCAAAGAATGGGCTGGCAAAACCAGCAGAGACAGCTGAACTGAACAGGGGAGAGCTCTTGGACCCCAGAACGACAGTGGGGAGGCCAGCATGGGACTGATCTGGACCCCCCAAATGTGAATGTCAGTGAGAAGGCCTGGGCAACCTATGCGGCCCTGAGCTGTGGATCAGTGTCTATCCCTGGTATACAAACTGTCTTCGTGTGCCTATAGCACAAAGAGAGATTCTCTCTCAGCCTGGACTCTTAGGGGAGTGCCTGGACCCTACCAAGAGTAAAATGACAGACTCTAGATATCCCCTATGGGGAAGGATTTGGCAATAGGTTGGGAGGGAGGGGGGAAGGGGAGTGCAGAAGGAGGGGAGGGAGAGGGCACTGGGATTGACATGTAAAACAAGCTATTTAAAATAAAAAAAATGATAAAAAATTTTAAAAAAAGAATTTTTATTGAAACAGAACATCATTAGAGAATTTTGCATTAATCTAGCGCTAATGTACACAGTTCTCACAGAGAAACCATCATGGCTATTCTATGTTGCAGTGAAGTTTTCATGTTCTTATAGAAAATGCCATTCTTCCAAGAATAAATTCTTACCTTTCATTTCCCTGTCAAATTGCTGAATATTTTCCATAATATCTGAATTAGAAATGGTGTGTAGAATGCAGGTTCTGTGCAAGGCTTCAGCACAACCCTATGCAATAAACTCTGTGATGATACACACGAAAGGAACTAGTGACTTAGTTGCACTATAATATTGTCAGAAATATCTCAAAGGTCTTCCGGCCTCCTTTCTCTGAGCACATTCTAATTATCATCTTACACCACATTGGAGGAAGTCAAAACAAATATATGTTTAGTATATATGCACTATAATCTCTGTGTTTGAGGACAACTTGCTCTATCCAATTAAGCAAGACTCTGCAGTCTGGACAAAATTCCAATCAATGTATTTTTTTAATCCTAGTTTGTTGCAGGTTGGAATTTCAATGGCCACTTACCTTTCAGGCTAGGGAGGTAAGCATTGATTAGTATGTTTTACAGGATGTCTTCTTCCTTTATTGATGTGTTTTTAGATTTTTTTTAGGATTTTTACCTATTTTTTGATAAAACCGACTGCAATATTTCAAATTTAGCCACATAAAAACCATGTAATTTTTCTCTTTATTAGGAATAATGCTGTCCAATTAGTCATGGATCATTTTTTCTACTCATGTCTGCTTGAACTTGATGAAGCCTATGTGTTAATTTTTATGTGGATCAGTATCACTATTCAGAACATGAGCAATAGGACAAGTATGCAGTGGTGACCATTCATTTCAAATTAAAAACAAGCTATTCCACTTTTTCCATTGCATGGAAACACACAGGAGATAAAAGAGGGCTTATCTGGATCCATGATGACAACAAGTCTCTGAGGACACTGATCGACTCTAAATTATGCCATTCTAATCTCATGATGAGAGGTCCTCTTGACAAAAGTGATGTTTCCAAAAAGTGGCTAGCACTATTTCATTTTGAAACATAAGAGATAACTGTGCAGACTTGTTTGTCTCCCAAATATGGGAAAAATATATTTGTGTGGCAAACATTTCTTATAATTTGATACATCACTTTATGATAGACTAACTATAATACTAACAGAGACAAACTGTTCAGCAAGTTTTTAAGTCATTGATTAATGCCAAATTAAAATAAATAATTAAAATCTGTAGAAACACTGAAATCATAACTGTGCATTTCAATGGCCCAGCCCTGTGAAAAGAGAATTGTAGGATTCCTTGCAATTAGGTCCAAGCATTTCAGAGACCACATTTTGCTCTTCTTTCCCCCAATCATGAGCAATGGGACATATTTTCCATGTTGCTAGAATATTAGATATTCTGTAGTTTAAATTGCACATATTTTGATGGCAGTGGCCATCTCACCATCCAGACAACCAAATAACCCAATACCACTTTGTGACAGAATGACCACTAAAATTTCACTATCATGATAACAGATGGAGAATATTGTTATTTTCTGAATATGAGCTACACAGCACAAGAGAATTTTTGGTCAGAAAAGTTGGGAAGAATGATCTTTAATGTTTTATACCATGTGAATTTAATGAAAAGCATATTGCATATTCATACCTTTTCAGTAATAAACAAATACAATGCAGAATTGCACAAAGAACTTCACTCAGATCCATGCATCTGGAGAACACTCCCTTGATTACATACACCTAGTTTATTTCACACAGACCTTAGAGAATGAAGTAGACTCACTCTGTTTCTAAGTTGTCTCAGTGATATAACACAATCCCTATACTAAGAAACATTGAAATTCATCCAAATAAATGTGAAAGAATAATTTTTTTGTATTTCACTGAGACACAATGAAAGGAAGTCTTTAGGAGCAATAACATGTGTAGAATGAATACATACACATAACAATTTTTAATGAAAAGGTATGTCAATAGAGAACATTGCCATATTCTAGTGCTAATGTACACATTTTACACACAGAAACCATCATGGGAATTCAAGTTTGCAGTGTACTTTTCATGCACTTACAGAAAACGCCTTCCTGCCATAGAATAAATTATTACCTTTCTTATTTACATGTCAAATTGCTGAATATTTTGTTAAAAATATGCATTAGGAATGGCATCAGGAAGTCGGTTAGTGTGCAAGGCTACAGCACCGCCCTAAACAATAAACCAAGTGATGATACACACAAAAGGAACCAGTGCCTTACTTGAACTATAATATTGACAGAAATATAACAATGAGCTTCTGGCCTCCTTTCTGTTAAAACATTCTAATTATCATCTTACCCCAAGTACAGAGGAAGTCAGACCAAATGTATGTTTGGTATAAATGCTCTATAATCTCTGTGTTTGTGGTCAACTTCCTCTATCCATCAAGCTAGACACTATAATCAGAACAAAATTCTAATCAATGTATTTTGTATTTCTATTTTGTTGCAGGTTGGAAATGCAATGGCCTCTTACCTATCAAGCTGGATATGTAAGCATTGATTAGTATTTATGAGAGGATATCTTTTTCCATTTGTGATGTTTTTTAAAAATTTTTAAGGATTTTATCTATTTTTGTTATTACCTACTTCAATGTTTCAAATTTAGACACACAAAATCCATTTGAATTTTCACTTTCTTAGGAATAATGCTGGCAAATTAGACATGAATCATATTTTTGCTTATGTATGTATTAAGATGATGAAGCCTATCTGTTAATTCTGTATGTGTTTCAGTAAATCTATTCAGAAACTGAGCAATAGTCAGCTCCACTGTCATGACCATTCATTTCAAAATCAAAGCCAATAGCTTTCCCTGCTTACCCATTGCATTGAAAAGACAAATGAGTTAAATGAGTGCTTATCTGGATCAATGATGATAACAAGTCTCTGAGGATGCTGATCAACTCATCGCTATGTCAATCTGAGTTCCAGATGTGAGGCCCTTTTGACAAAAGTGATGCTTCCACAAAGTGGCTATCATGGTTACATATGGAGAATATTGTTTTTTTAATATGAGCTACACAGCACAAGAGAATTGTTTGTCAGAAAAGTTGGGAATAGTGATGATCAAATTTTATAATGTGTGAATTTTAATTAAGAGAATATTGCAGACTCACAAAATTACTGTTTGAAACAATTACAATTCCAATTTGCAAAAAGAACTTCACTCAGATCCATGTATCTGGAGAACTTTCCCTTGAGTACACATTCCGAGGTGGTTGCATACAGATCTTAGGGACAGAAGCAGACACACTCTGTTTCTCAATTGCCACACTGATGTAACAAAAACCCTATACGGAGTTTCATTGAGATTCTTCCAAATAAAATGAAAGAATAATTTTTTTGGCTTTTATTTTTATTTTAATTTTAAATAGCTTGTTTTACATGTCAATACCTGCTCCCTCTCCCTCCCCTCCTCCCGCACCCCTCACCATACCCCCCAGCCTCCCACCCTATCGCCAATTCCTTCCACATAGGGGATATCTAGAGTCTGTCATTTCACACAGGGTAGGGTCCAGGTACTCCCTTAAGAGTCCAGGCTGAGAGAGCATCCCGCTTTGTGTTATGGACACACGATGTCTGTTTGTATTACAGGGATAAACACTGATCCACTGCTCAGGACCCCATAGGTTGCCCAGGCCTCCTCACTGACTCTCACATTCAGGGGGTCTGGATCAGTCCCATGCTGGCCTCCCAGCTCTCAGTCTGGGTACAAGAGCTCTTCCCTGTTCGGATCAGCAGTCTCTGCTGGTTTTGCCAGCCCATTCTTTGCCAATTTGCTCATTGCTCCTCTCTCTCTTTCACTGGGTTCCTTAGGTTCAGTTCAGTGTTTAACTGTGGGTGTTTGCCTCTGCTTCCATCAGTCACTGGATGAAGGCTCCAGGATGGTTATAGACATCAAGTTCATTATCAGGAATGGGCATTCGAGGTGGTCTCTCCTATGTTTCACTGAGACACCATGACATGTGTAAAATGATTATGTACACATAACATTTTTAATGAAACGGAACCTCAATAGAGAACCTAGCCATTGTCTAGTGCTAATGTACATATTTCACACACAGATACCATCATGGGAATTCAATGTTGCAGTGCACTTCTTAAGTTCTTATAGAAAATGCCTTCCCTTGATAGAATACATTCTTTTTTTGGTTTTTATGAGACAAGGTTTCTCTGTGTTGTTTTGGAGGCTGTCGGTCCAGCCCAGCCTCGAACTCACAGAGATCTTCCTGCCTTGGCCTCCCCAGTGCTGGGATTAAAGGCATGCGCCACCACTGCCTGGTAATAGAATAAATTCTTGCCCTCTCATTTACAAGTCAAATTACAGAATAATTTTTAAAATTTCTGTATTAGGAATGGCATCTAGAATGCGGTTGCTCTGCAAGGCTTTCACAACATCCAATTCGACAATACCAGTGATGATACATGCCAAAGGAACTAGTGCCTTACTTTCAGTATAATACTGACAAAAATATCACAAAAAGTTTCAGGCCTCCTTTCTCTTAGCACATTCTCATTATTATCTTATCCCTTTTATGGAGGAAGCCAGACCAAATGTATGTTTGGTATAAATGCCCTATAATATTTGTGATTTTTGTCCAACTTGATGTATCCAATTAATCTAGACACTGTAGTCCATACAAAATTCAAATCAAAGTATTATTTTTTTCTACTTTGTTGCAGGTTAGAATTACAATGGTGTCTTACCTTACAGACTGGAGAGGTAAGCATTGATTAATATTTATTAGAGGATTATTTTCCCTTATTGATGTTTTTTTAATACCGACTTCAACATTTCAAATTTAGCCACATAAAACCCATGCCAATTTTCTGTTTCTTAGGAATAATGCTGGCAAATAAGGCATGGGACATTTTTTCTGCTGATGTTTGCTTTAAGATGATGAAGCCTATGTGTTAATTTTTATGTGTTCAGAATCTCTATTAAGAACCTGAGCAATAAGCCAGCTACACATTTTTGACCATTCATTTCATAGTCAAATGCAATAGCTATTCCAACTTTGCCATTCCATTGTAAGCACACATTAAAAGAGGGCTTACCTGGAATGATGATGACAACAAATTTCTGAGGATGTTGATCGACTTGTAACTATGCCAATCTGTGCTCCAGATGGGAAGTTCCACTTGATAACTGTGATGCTTATCCAAAGTAACTGGCTCATTTGCATTTTAAAGCACAGGAGATAACTGAGCAAATAAATATTAAAGAATATTTTTTTGTTTCATTGAGACACTAGTTAAGGAAATTTTAATCGCAATGACATTTGTAGAATGAATACGTGAACATAGCAATTTTTAATGAAAGGAACCTCAATAGAGAACTTTGCCTAAGTTTGGTGCTAATCTACACATTTCTCACACAGAAACCATCATTGGAATTTAAGGTTGTATTGCACTTTTGATATTCTTATAGAAAATAATTTCCTTACATTGAATAAATACTTAACTTCTCATTTACATGTCAAATTGCAGAATATTATGTAAAATATACGCATTAGGAAAGGTATTTTGAATGTAGTTGCTGTGCAAGGCTTCAGCACCACCCTATGCAATAAACCCATTTATGGTACATACCAAAGGAAATGGTGCCTAAATTTTAATATTTACAGAAATATAACAAACAGCCTCAGGATTCCGTTCTCTTACCACATTCTCATTATCAACTTACCCCAAATATATGTGTGGTATAAATGCCCTATAATCTCTGTGTTTGAGAACACCTTCCTCTATAAAATTAAGCTAGAAACTGTAGTCAGGACAAACTTCCAAACAATGTATTTTTTATTTCTGTTTTGCTGTAATTTGGAATTGCAAATGACTCTTAAGTTTCGAGCTGGAGAGGTAAGCACTGACTAATATTTATTAGAGGAATTTTTCCATTCTTGATGTATATTTTTATTATTTTAGGATTTCATTTTCTTTTTTTGTTAATACCGACTTCAACATTTCAAATTTAGTCCCATAAAATTCATGTCAATATACTCTTTCCTAGGAATAATGCTTGGAAATTAGATGTGAATATTTTTTTCTGCTGCTGTCACAAAAGTTGGGAAGAATGATCTTTAATTTTTTATTGTGTTAATTTAATGAAGAGATTTTTGCATGCTCATACTTTTTCCAATCCAATCAGATAAAATGCAGAATTGCACAGAGAACTTCTCTCAGATACATGCATCCAGAGAACACTCCCATGATTACGCAGACCTCAGTAGTTGCACACTTGACTTAGAGATCGAAAGAGACACAATCTGTTTCTTAGTTGTCACACTGATTAAGCACAAACCCTATACTCAGATTCATTTAAATTCTTCCAAATAAGGAGGAAATAATAATGTGTTTATGTTTCACTGAGTGACCATGAAAGGAAATCTTTAGTGGCAATTACATTTGTAGAATGAATATGTGCACATAAAAATATTTTTTAAAAAAAGGAATCGTAAAAGAGAACCTTGCCATAATCTAGTGCTATGTTACACAGTTCTCACACATCCATCATTGGAATAAATCATGTTTGCAGTACAGTTTTCATGTTCTTATTGAAAATGCCTTCTTTCATAGAATAAATTGTTACCTCCACATATGCATGTCAAATAACAAAATATTTTAAAATATTTGTATTATGCTTGGCATCTTGAACCCCATTGCTCTGTGAGGCTTCAGTGTCACACCAAGCAATAAACCCAGGGAAGATACATACCAAAGGAACTGCAGCCTTACCTACAGTATGGTATTGACAGAAATATCACAAAAAGCTTCTGGCCTCCTTTCTATTAACACATTCTCATTATCATCTTACCCCAGGTAAGGAGGGAGACAAAATGTATTTTGCTATATATCCCCTATAATCCCTGTGATTGTGGACAGGTTTCTCTATCCAATTAAGCAAGACACAGTAGTCTGAACAAAATTCCAGTCAGTGTATTCTTTATTTCTATTTGGTTGCAGGTTGTAATTGCAATGGCCTCTTACCTTTCAAGTTGGAGGCGTGCATTGATTACTATTTATTAGAAGATGTTTTTTTACATTATTGATGTTTTCTTAATTATTTTAGGATTTTATTTATTTTTGTGATACCTATTTTCAATATTTCAAATTTAGTGCCATAAAATCCATGTGAACTTCCTTTTTTTAGGGACAATGCTGGCCAATTAGACATGGATTGTTTTTTTGCTCATGTATTCCTTAAGGTGATAAAACCTATGTGTTCAGCAACTCTATTTAGAACATGAGAAAAAAGCCAGCTGCTCAGTGATGACAATTAATTTCAAAGTCAAAGCCACTATCTACTCTTGCATTCTGTTATATTGGAAGCACACATGAATTAAAAGAAGGCTTATCCAGTTGCTAGAATCTCGGTGTTAGGTACAGTGTAGTACACTGGAACTCTTGTTTGGAATGTAAAACTCTTATTTGATCTGCATCATGAAGCCTGTCATTTTGTATATAACATTCCAGAGTAAGACTCATATTATGGTTACTTTTTTCAATTTTGATTTTAAGTATTTTTATGTATTTTGTCAAATATAAGTATTTGAAATTTTAAAAAAAGAGGGCTTATCTGGATCAATGATGACAAGAAGTCTCTGAAAATGGTGATCAACTTGTAACTATGCCAATCTGATCTCCAGATGGTAGGTCCTCTTGACAACAGTGATGTTTCCCCGAAGTGGCAACCACTCTTCAATTTTGAAGTAGAAGCGATAACTGTGCAGAATGGCTTATTCTCCCAAATTTTATGTGAACAACATTTTTTGGTGTAGCAAAATTGTCTCAGAATTTGATACATCACTTTATGTTACACTAACAATTGTACTAACAAAAAAACTATCCAGCAAGTTTTTAAATCATTTACAAAGGCCCAATAGAATTAAAGAACTAAAATATGTGGAAGCAGTGAAATCATAACTAAAGATCTCATGGCAATTCTCTATGACTTTCCAAAATTGGGGAAAACAAGAGGAGATTCAAGTATTCCCTGCCACTATCACTGAAATTTTCAGAGATGACAGTTTGTTACTCCTTCCTCCAATTACCACAATGCGATATAATTTCCCATGATGCTAGCATATTTTTTATTCTGTAGTAAAAATTGTACATACCTTGATGGCAGCAGCCATTTCACCATCCATGGACAACGTCTATCCACATCCTCATTGTGACAGAATAAGCACCAACATTTTACTTTCATTGTAACATATGGAGAATATTTTCCTTTTTTGAATATGAGGTACCCAGCATAAGAGAAGTGTTTGTCAAAAAGTTGGGAAGAAAGATATTACAATTTTATAAAGTCTGTATTTAATGAAGATCATATTGCATACTCAAATATTTTCTATTCCAAAATGATACAAGCCAACTTGCACAAAGAACTTCATTCAGATACATGCATCTGGAGAACACTCCCATTACTAGCCGGAACAAGATAGTTGCACACTAACCTTAGAGAAGTAAGCAGACAGACTCCGTTTCTCAATTGTCACACTAATCAAACACAAACCCTAATATCAGATTCATTGAAATTCATCAAAATAAAAATGAAAGAATAATTTCTTTATGCGTCATGGAGACACCATTAAAGGAAGACTGTTATAGCAATGACATTTTTAGAATAATTATGTGAACATAGCAATTTTTAAAGACAGGAACCTCAATAGAGATCCTTGTCGTAGTCTAGTGCTAATCTAAACATTTTTCACACAGTAACCATCATTGGAATACAAGTTTGCAGTGCACATTTGATGTACTTAAGAAAATGCCTTCCTTTCATAGAATAAAAACTTACCTTCTCATTTACATATCAAATTGCAGAATATTTTGTAAAATATATGCATTAGGAATGACAACTTGAATGTGGTTTCTGTGCAAGGATTCATAACCAACCTATGCAATAAACCCAGTTATGGTATAAACCAAAGGAAATAGTGCGTTACTTGTATTATAATATTAACAGAAATATAAAAAACAGCCTTGGGCCTCCTTTCTTTAACCTATTCTCATTATCATCTTACCAGAGTTATGGAGGAAGTCAGAACAAATGTATGTTTGTCATAAATGCCCTGTAATCTCTGTGTTTGAGGACAACATGCTCTATCAAATCAATGAAATTTTTTTCTGTTTTGCCTCAGGTTGGAATTGCAAATGCCTCTTACCTTTCAGGCTGGAGATATAAGCATTGACTAATATTCACTAGAGGAATTATTTTTACATTCCTGATGTGTATTTTTATTTTTGTGATTTTTTCATTTTTATGTTTATAAGGCATTCAATATTTGAACTTTAGTACCATAAAAATGATGTCAATATTCTTTTTCCTAGCAATAATGATTGTGAATTAGACATGAATTTTTTCTGCTCACGTGTTTTAAAATGCTGAAACCTATTGTGTTAATTCTGTATGTAGTTTGTAACTATATTTAGAACTTTAGCTATAAGCCAGCTGCCCAGTTGTGACCATTCATTTCAAAGTCAATGCCACAAGCTATTCCAGAGTAACCATTGCATTGGAAACACACGTATGTTAAAAGAGGGCTCATCTGGATCGATGATGACAACATGTCTCTGAGGACGCTGATCGACCTGACCTATGCCACTCTGAGCTCCAGTTGGGAGGTCCTCTTGACAAAAGTGATGTTTCCCCAAAAGTGGCTAGCACTCTTCTATTTTGAAGAATAAGAGATAACTGTGCAGACTGGCTTTGTCTCCCAAATTTTATGGTAATGATATTTTTGTGTGTCACAAATGTGTCTTATAATTTGATTCATCACTTTTTTTACACTATGTGTTATACCAACAGCAACAACATGTACAGTACATTTTTAAGCCATTGAGTAATGCCAGACTGAAATGTAGAACTAAATGTAAAGAAAGCAGGAAATCGTAACTAAGTATCTACAGATCCCTGCCTTGTGACTTTCCCAAATTGGTGATAAAGAAGAGATTGTAGGATTGAATTCAACCATTATTTAGCAGCATATCAGAAATCACAGTTTGAAACTCCTGACCCAATTATCAGCAATGGGATATAATCTTCAATTTTGCTAGAATATTTGCTAATTTGTAGTTAAAATTGAACATATCATGAAGGCAGGAGCTATCTCACCACTCTGACACCATTTCAATCCACTTCCACGCTGTGACAGAAAAAGCACCAACATTTTACTCTTATGGTAACATATAGAGAATATTCTTTTTTCTTTTAATATGAGATGCATTTCACAAGAGAGGTGTTTGTCAGAAAAGTTGGGAAGAATGAACCTTAATTTTTTTGTATTGTGTTAACTTATTGAAGAGAATTTTGCATACTCACAAATTTTCTGTTCCAATCAGACACAATGCTGAATTGCACAAAGAACCTCACTCAGATACATGCATCCAGAGGATACTCCTATGATTACACAGACCTCCATAATTGCACACTTAACTTAGAGATTGAAAGAGAAACATTCTTTTTCTTAGTTGTCACACTGATCAAGCACAAACCCTATATTCAGATTCATTGAAATTCATCCAAATGAGGAGGAAATAATAATGTTTTTATGTTTCACTGAGTGACCATGAAAGGAAGTCTTTAGCAGCAATAACATGTGTAGAATGAATATGTGCGCATAATAATTGTTTTTGGAAAGGAATCCCAACAGAGAAACTTTCCATAATATAGTGCTCTGGTACACAGATCTCACACATGAACCATCATTGGATTCAAGGTTGCAGTATATTTTTATGCTCCTATTGAAAACGCCTCTTTCATAGAATAAATCCTTACCTCCATATATACATGCAAATATTTTAAAATATCTGTGTTAATGACATCTAGTACATCATCGCTGTGCCTGGCTTCAGCACAACCCCAAGTAATAACCCCAATACCAAAGGAACTACTGCCTTACGTATACTTTAATATGGACAGAAATATCACACAGAGCTTTTGGCCTCCTTTATATTAACACATTCTCATTATCATCTTACCCCAGGTATAAAGGAAGTCTGACAAAATGTATTTTTGCTACATACCCCCTATAATCACTGTGTTTGTGGACAACTTGCTCTATGTAATTAAGTTAACACAGTAGTCTTGACAAAACTACAATCAATGAATTTTTATTTCTATTTTGTTGCAGGTTATAGTTGCAGTTGTCTCTAACCCTTCAGGTTGGAGAGGTAAGCATTGATTACTATTTATTAGAGGATGTCTTTTTCCATTATTGATGTTTTTAAATTTTATTAGGATTTTATCTATTTTTTGTAATACCTATTTTCACTATTTCAAATTCAGTGCCCTAAAATTCATGGGAATTTTCTGTTTTTTAGCAATAATGTTGGTCATTTTTTTCTCCACATGTGGGCTTTATAGTGATGAAGACTATATGTTATTTCTGTTTGTTGTTCAGTAACCCTATTCAGAACCTTGGACATAAGCCAGCTGCACAGTGATGACGATTTATTTCAAAGTCAAGAAACTATCTATTCTAGCTTTTTGACATATTGGAAACACACATGAGTTAAAAGAGGGCTTATCTGGATCAATGATGACAAGAAGTCTCTGAGGACGGTGATCGACTTGTAATTATGCCAATCTGAGCTCCAGGTAGTAGGTCCTCTTGACAACAGTGATGTTTCTCCAAAGTGGCAAGCCCTCTTCCATTTTGAAGCATAAGAGATAACTGTGCAGAAAGCTTATTCTCCCAAATTTTATGCTAACAACATTTTTTGTGTGTTGCAAACTTGTATTATAATCTGATGCATCACTTTATGTTACACTATCAATTATACTAGCAGAAAAACTGTACAGCAAGTTTTTCAACCATTTACTAATGCCCAATAGAAATAAATAAATAAAAGATGTGGAAGCAATGAAATTATAACTGAGCATCTCAGGGCAATGCCATGTGACTTTCCAAAACTGGAGAAAAGGAGGAGATTGAAGGATTCCATGCCACTATTACTGAGAATTTCATTCAACACAATTTGCCCTTCCTTCCACTAATTAGCACAATATGCTATAAATTCCCATGATGCTAGAATATGTGTTTATTCTGTAGATTAAATTGAACATATCTTGGTGGAAGCGTCCATCTCAACATCCAGACACCCCATGAAACAACTTCCTCATTGTGACAGAATAAGCACCAACAACTTACTGTCATGGATAACACTGTCCTGTTTTGAATATTAGTTACACAGCACAAGATATGTTTTTGTCGTAAGTTTGGAGAGAAAGATCTTCCATTTTTTAGAATATCTGTGTTTAATGAATATCATATTACGTACTCACACCTTTTCCATTCCAAACAGATACAAGCCGACATGCACAAAGAATTTCACTCAGATCCATGCATCTGGAGAACCACTCTCATTATAATCTAGAAGTAGATAATTGCACACTAACCTTAGAGAAGCAAGCAGACACACTCAGTTTCTCAGTTGTCACACTGATGAAACACATACCCTGAATTAAGATTCGTTGAAATTCATCCAAATAAAGATGATACAATAATTGCTTTATGTTTAATTGAGACACCAATAAAGGAAGACTTTAAGATCAATGACATTTGTAGAATGAATATGTGAACATTGTAATTTTAATGGATGGAAATGCAATAGAGGACCTTGTAATAGTCCAGTGCTAATCTACACAAATCTCACACAGAAAACATCATGGGAATTCAAGGTTGCAGTGTGCTTTTGATGTTCTTATAGAAAATGCCTTCCTTTCAGAGAATAAATACTTACCTTCTCATTTACATGTCAAATTGCAGAATATTTTGTAAAATGTATACATTAGGAATGGCATCTTGAATGTGGTTTATGAGCAAGGATTCAGCTCCTCAATATGCAATAAAGCCAGTTAGGGTACACATAAAGGAACCAGTGCCTTTCATGTATTTTAATATTGACAGAAATATAACAAACTGATTTGGGCTTTCCTTCTATTTATATATTCTCATTATCATCTTACGCCAGTTATGGCGGAAGTCAGACCAAATATATGTTTGGTATAAATGCTCTGTAATGTCTGTGTTTGAGGACAACTTGCTATATCAAATTAATCTAGAAACAGCAGTCTGGGAAAAATTCAAATCATTGTATTTTTTACTTCTATTTTGCTGCAGGTTGCAATTGCAAATGCCTCTTACCTTTCAGGCGGGAGGGGTAAGTATCGAATAATAGTTATTATGGAAACTATTTTTCCATTCTGGATGTGTATTTTTACTTTTTTAGGTTTTTAAAATTTTTTTTGTTAATACTGACTTCAATATTTCAAATTTAGTCCCATAAAATCCATGTCAATATTCTATTTACTAGGAATAATGCTGGCAAATTTGACATGAATAATTTTTTCTGCTCCTGTGTGATTTAGATCATGAAACCTATTTGTAAATTCTGTATGTCTTTTGTAAGACTATCGAGAACCTGAGCTATAAGCCAGCTGCACAATCATAACCATGCATTTCAAAATCAAAGCCAAAGAACGTTCCAGAGTAATCATTGCATTGGAAACACACTTGAGTTAAAAGAGGACTCATCTGGATCGATGATGATAACATGTCTCTGAGGACGCTGATCGACCTGACCTATGCCACTCTGAGCTCCAGTTTGGAGGTCCTCTTGACAACAGTGATGTTTCCTTAATGTGGATAGCACTTTTCCATTTTGAAGCATAAGCGATAACTGTGCAGACTGGCTTTATATCCCAAATTTTATGGTAACCATTTTTTTGTGTTTGGCAAAAGTGTCTTATAATTTGATTCATCCCTTTATTTTACACTAACTGTAATACAAACAGCAACAAAGTGTCCAGGAAATTTTTAAGTGATTGATTAATGCCAAACTGAAATGTAGAACTAAATATTGCAGAAGAAGTGAAATGGTAACTGAGCATCTACAGAGCCCTGAAGTGTGACTTTCCAAAAATGGAATAAAATAAGAAATTGTAGGATTCCATTCCACCATTACTGAGCATATCAGAAACCATAGTTTGCACCTTCTGTTCCAATTACGGGGAATTGGATGTAAACTTCCATTTTTTAGTATAGGTGCTATTCTAAAGTTAAAACATATCATGATGGCAGAAGCCATCTCTTCATAAACAAGCCACATCAATCCACTTCCCCATTGTGACAGAATAATCCCAACATTTTACTCTCATGGGAACATATTTAGGATATTGCTCTTTTTTTAATATAAGGTGCATTTCCCTAAAGAAGTGTTTGTCAGAAAAAATTTGGGAAGAATGATCTTCATTTTTTTATATTGTGTTAATTTAATGAAGAGAATTTTGCATACACATACCTTTTCCAATCCAATTAGATACAATGCCATATTACACAAAAACTTCACTCAGATACATGCATCCAGGAACACTTCCATGATTACAAAGACCTCCGTAGTTGCACAATTAACTTAGAGATTGACACAGACATATTCTGTTCCTCAGTTCTCACACTGATCAAACACAAACCCTATAATAGTATTTAATGAAATTCATCCAAATAGAAGAAATAATAATGTGTTTATGTTTCCCTGAGTCTTCATGAAAGGAAGTCTTTAGTATCAATGACATGTGTAGAATGAATATGTGCACATAAAATTTTTATTGGAAAGGAATCGCAATAGAGAACATTGGCATTATCTAGTGCTATGGTACACAGGTCTCACATATAAACCATCATTGGAAATCACGGTTGCAGTACACTTTTCATGTTCTTATTGAAAATGCCTTTTTTCATAGAATAAATTCTTACTGCCACATATATATGTCAAATATCTGTATTGGGAATGACATCTAGAACACCATTGCTGTGTGAGCCTTCCTCACAACCCCAAGGAATAAACCCAGGGAAGATACATATCAAAGCAACTACTTATTTAAATATACAAAAATATGGACAGAAATATCACAAAGAGCTTCTGGCCTCATTTCTCTTAACAAATTCTCATTATCATCTTACCCCAGGAATAGAGGAATTCAAACAAAATGTATTTTTGGTGTACATACCCTATAATCTCTCTGTTTGTGGACAACATGTTCTATCAAATTAAGCTAGACACAGTAGTCTGGACAAAACTCCAATCAATGAATTTTTATTTCTATTTTGTTGCAGGTTGTAGTTGCTGTTGCCTCTTACCCTTCAGTTTGGAGAGGTAAGCATTGATTACTAGTTATTAGATGATGTCTTTTTCCATTATTGATGTGCGTTTTAAATTTTTTAGGATTTTATCTTTTTTTGTAACACCTCTTTTCATTATTTCAAATTTAGTCCCCTAAAATTCATGGTAATCTTCTTTTTTATGAATAATGCTGGCCAATTAGGCATGCATCATTTTTTCTGCTCATGTAAGCTACAACGTGATGAAGCCTATATGATAATACTGTTTGTGGTTCTGAAATCCTATTCAGAAACTTAGACATAAGCCCCCCTGCATAGTAATGACAATTTATTTCAAAGTCAAAGCCACTATCTATTCTAGCTTTCTGTTATATTGGAAACACACATGAGTTAAAAGAGGACTTATCTGGATCGATGATGACAAGAAGTCTTTGAGGACGCTGATCGATATGTAACTATGCCAATCTGAGCTCCAGGTAGTAAATCCTCTTGACAACAGTGATGTTTCCCCAAAGTGGCAAGCACTCTTCCATTTTAAAGCATAAGAGATAATTGTGAGGAATGGCTTATTCTCCCAAATTTTATGCGAAAAACATTTTTTGTGTTGCAAAATTTTCTTGTAATTTGATACATGACTTTATGTTACACTAAAAATTACAATAATAGAAAAAACTGTCCACCAGTTTTTTAAACCATTTACTAATGCCAGAAAGAAATGAAGAACTAAAAGATGTGGAAGCAGTGAAATCATAACTGAGCATCTCAGTGCAATGCCCTGTGACTTTCCAAAATTTGGGAAAAGAGGAAATTGAAGGATACCCTGCAACTATTACTGAGCATCACAGAGATCACAGTTTGCTCTTGTTTCCTACAATTACCACAATGGGATATAATTTCCCATTATGCTACAATATATTTTATTCTGTAGTTTAAATTGAAAATATCTTCATGGCAGCAGCCAACTCACCATCCAGACACCCCTAAGCAACTTCCTCATTTTGACAGAATAAGCACCAACATTTTACTATCATGGTAAAATATGGAGACTATTGTCCTCTTTTGAAAATGAGATACACATCACAAGAGATGTTTTTTTCAAAAGGTTGGGAAGAAATATCGTCCAATTTTATAATGTCTGTATTTAATGAATATCATATTGCATACTCACACCTTTTCCATTCCAAACAGATACCAGCCGATTTTCACAAAGATCATTGCTCAGATCCATGCCTCTAGAGAAAACTCCCATTATTTGCTAGAACATGATAATTGCATGCTAACCTTAGAGAAGGAAGCAGGCACCCTCCGTTTCTCAGTTGTCACACTGATGAAACAAAAACACTAATTTCACATTCATTGAAATTCATCCAAGTAAAAATGAAAAAATATTTTATGTTTCATTGAGACACCATTATAGGAAGACTTTAAGGGAAATGACATTTGTAAAATGAGTATGTTACATAGCAATTTTTAATGACTAGAGCTAATTTACACATTTCTCATACAGAAACCATCAAGGGAATTCCAGGTTGCAGTGCACTTTTGATGATCTTAAGAAAATGACTTCCTTTCATTGAATAAAACCTTACCTTCTCATTTACATGTCAAATTGCAAAATACTTTGTAAAATATATGCATTAAGAATGACATCTTGAATGTGGTTTCTGTGCAAGGATTCAGCACCACCCTATGCAATAAACTCAGTTATGGTACACTCCAAAGCAACTAGTGCCCTACTTGTATTATAATATTGACAGAAATATAACATACAGCTTTGGGCCACATTTTCCTTAATATTTTCACATTATCATCGTACCACAGTTATGGTGGAAGTCAGACCTAATGTATGTTTGGTATAAATGCCCTGTAATCTCTCTGTTTGAGGACAACATGCTCTATCAAATTAAGCTAGAAACTGCAGTATGGACAAAATCCCAGTCAATGTATTTTTTATTTCTGTTTTGCTGTAGGTTGGAATTGCAAATGCCTCTTACCTTTCAGGCTGGAGGGGTAAGCATTGACTAATATTTGTTGCAGGAATTCTTTTTCCATTCTTCTTGTGTATGTATATTTTTAGAATTATTTTTATTTTTATGTTTATACTGACTGCAGTATTCTAAATTAGTTACATAAAATCCATGTCAATATTCTCTTTCCTACGAATAATGCTTGCAAATTTGACGTGAACAATTTTTCTGCTCATGTGTGCTTTAAAATGGTAAACCTCTGTGTTATTTCTGTATGTGGTTTTTAACTATATTCAGAACCTGAGCTATAAGCCAGCTGCCCAGCCGTGACCATTAATTTCAAAGTCAAAGCCACATGCTATTCCAGCTTGACCCTTGCATTGGAAACACACTTGAGTTAAAAGGGCTCATATGTATCGATGATGACAACAATTCTCTGAGGATGCTGAGTGACCTGTACTATGCCACTCTAAGCTCCAGATGGGAGGTCCTCTTGACAAAAGTGATGTTTAACCAAATTGGCTAGCACTCTTCCATTTTGAAGTATCAGAGATATCTGTGCTGACTGGCTTTTTCTCCCAAATTTTCTGGTAACGATTTTTTGTGTGTGACAAAAGTGTCTTATAATTTGATTTATGACTTTATTTTACACCAAGTGTAATAAAAACAGCACCAAAATATCCAGCAAATTTGAAAGCCATTGACTAATTGCAGACCGAAATATAGAACTAAATGTTGTGAAAGCAGGAAATCGTAAATGAGCATCTACAGAGACCTGCCATGTGACTTACCAAAATTGTGGATAAAGAAGGATAGTAGGATTGAATTCCAACGTTACCGAGCAGCATATCAGAAACCACATGTTGCACCTGCTGACAGAATTATCAGCAATCTATGTAATCTTCCATTTTGCTAGAATATTTGCTAATCTATATTTAAAGTTGAATATCATGATGATAGCAGCCATCTCACAATTCAGACACCACATCATTCCACTTTCACATTGTGACAGAATAAGCACCAACATTTTACTCTCATGGTAACATATGAAGAATATTATTTTTTCTTTTAATATGGCGTTCATTTCAAAAGAGAAATGTTTGTCAGAAAAGTTGGGAAGAATGAATTTTAATTTTTTGTATTGTGTTAATTTAATGAAGAAAATATTGCACAATTACACAATTTCCGTTCCAATCAGATACAATGCTGCATTGCACAAAGAACCTCACTCAGATACATGGATCCAAAGAGCACTCCCATGATTACACAGACGTCCGTAGTGGCAAACTTAACTTAGACATGGAAGCAAACACATTCTGTTTCTAACTTCTCACACTGATGAAAAAAAACTATAATCAGATTTATTGAAATTCATCCAAATAAAATGAAATAATAATATGTTTATGTTTCTTTGAGTGACCATGAATGGAAGTTTAGGTGTAATGGCATGTGAAGAATGAATATGTGCACATAAAAATTTTTAATGAAAAGTAATCTGTCTCAATAGAGAATGTTGCCATAATCTTGTGCTATGGTACACAGTTATCAGACAGAAACCATCATTGGTCTGCAAGTTTGCAGTACACTTTTCATGTTCTTATATAAAATGCCTTTGTTTTATACAATAAATTCTTGCCTTGTCTTTTACATATCAAAATGCCAAATATTTGTAAAATATCTGTGCTATGCATGGCATCTAGAATGCCATTGCTTTCTGAGTCTTCAGCACCACCACAAGCAATAAATCCAGGGAAGATACCAAAGGAACTTCTGCCTTCCCTGTACTATATTAATGACAGAAATATCGCAAAGACATTCTGGCCACCTTTCGCTCAACACATTGTCAGTATCATCTTACCCAAGCTATGGAGGAAATCAGACCAAGCATGTTTCTTATATAAATGTGCTATAATCTCAGTGTCTGAGGACAACTTGATCTATCCAATTAAGCCAGACACTGTAGGCTGGACATACCTCCAAACAATGTGTTTTTTATTTCTATTTTTTTGCTGGTTGGAATTTCAATGGTCTCTTACCTTTCAGGCTGGAGAGGTAAGCATTGATAAATATTTATTAGAGGATGTCTTTTTCCATTATTGATTTTTTTATTTATTTCAGGATTTTATGTGTGTTTGTAATACCAATTTTCCATATTTCAAATATAGTCTCATAAAATGCATGCAAATTTTCTCTTTCTTACATATAAAGCTGGTCAATTAGACATGGATCATTTTTATGCTCATGTATGCTTTAAGATGATGAAGCCTATGTGTTAATTCTATATGTGGTTCAGTTCCTCTATTCAGAACCTGAGCAAATAGCCAGATACACAGTGATGACCATTGATTTCAAAGTCAAAGCCACCAGCTATTCCAGTTTCCTGATTGCCTTAAAACACACATGAGTTAAAAGAGGGCTTATCTGGACTGATGGTGTCAAGTACTCTCTGAGTAAAGTGACCTACTCATAACTATGCCAATCTGAGCGTCAGATGGGAATTCCTCTTGACAACAGTGATGTTTCCCCAAACTGGCTAGCACTCTTAAAATTTTGAGGTATTATAAATAAGAGTGGAGCATGATCTTTTTCTCCCATATTTTGTGTGAACAATTTTTTGTCGCAATATTGTCTAATGAATAGATATTTCACTTTATGTAACACTAAATGTAATACTAACATCATCGAACTGCCTAGCAAGTTTTTAAGCCATTGACTAAAGCAAGATTAAAATAAGAAACTACAATATGTGTAAGCAGTGAAATCATAACTGAGCATCCCAAAGGCCCCGTCCTGTGACTTTCCATGATTGGTGAAAAGAAGAGATTGTAAGATTCCCTGCCTACTTTAATGAGCATTTCAGAGACCACAGTTTGCTCCACCTTCCTTCAGTTATCAGCAATGTGATATAATTTTCCCTGTTGCCAGATGTTTGGTATTCTATTATGTAAATTGAACATATTTTGTTGCCAGCAGCCATATCACCATCCAGACACCCTATGAATCCACTTCCACATTGTGAGAGAGTAATCACCCACATTTTACCATCATGGTAATATATTGAGAATGTTTTACTTTCTTGAATATGAGGTGTACGACACAAGAGAATTGTTTGTCATAAAATTTGTGATGAATAATCTTCAGTTTTTTATATTTTGTGAATTTAATGAATAGAATATTGCATACCCACACATTTCCATTCCAAACAGATAAATCGCCGAATTTCACAAAGAACATTACTCAGATCCATGCATGCGTACAACACTCCCCTGATTACAGAGACCTAGGTGGTTGCACACAGACCTTACAGAAGGAAGCAGACACTCCGTTTCATATTTGTCATGATGATGAATCTGTAACACTATATCCAATTTTATTGAGATTGATCCAAATAAAGATGAAAGAACACTCACACCGAGACACCATGAAAGGCAACCTTTAGGAGCAATGACATGTCTTAGAATGAATATGTGCACATAACACCTTTAAAGAAAAGGAACGTTATTAGAGAATCTTGCATTAGTCTAGCGCTAATGAACACAGGTCTCACACAGAAACCAACATGGGAACTAAAGTTTGCAGTGAAATTTTCTTGTTCTTATAGAAAATGCCTTCCTTTCATAGAATACTTACCTTTAATTTACATGTCAAAATTCAGAACATTTTACATAATATCTGAATTAGAAATGGTGTCTAGAATGCAGGTGCTGTGCAAGGCTTCAGCACCACCCTATGCAATAAACTCAGTGATGATACACACCAAAGGAACTAGTGCCTTACTTGCACTATAATATTGTCAGAAATATCTCAAAGGTATTCTGGCCTCCTTTCTCTGCACACATTCTCATTATCATCGTACTGCAGTTATGGAGGAAATCGGACCAAATATATGTTTGGTATATATTCACTATAATCTCAGTGTTTGAGGACACTTGCTTTATCCAATTAAGCTAGACTCTGCAGTCTGGAAAAAATTCCAATCAATGTATTTTTTATTACTTTTTTGTAATTGCAATGGCCACTTATGTTTCAGAATGGGGAAAGCACTGATATATATCTTCTCCAGGATGTCTTCTTCCTTTATTGATGTGTTTTTTTATTTTTTAGAATTTTATGTATTTTGTTAAAGCTGTCATCAATATTTTAAATTTAATCCCATAATATCCATGTGAATTTTCTCTTTCTTAGGAATAACGCTGGTCCAAAGCCATGGATTATTTTTTCTAATCATGTATGCTTTAAGATAATGAAGCATATGTTTTCACTCAGTATGTGGTTCATTAACTCTATTGAATCCTGTGCGATAAGCCAGCTGCACAGTCATGAGCATTAAATTCAAAGTCAAATCCATTAACTTTTATGTTTTCCCAAATAATTGGAAACACACTTGAGTTAGAAGAGGACTTTTCTGGATCGAGGATAACAACAAGTTTTTGAGAACTGTGATTTTCTTGTACCTATGCCAATCTGAGCTCCAGATTGGAGGTGCTCTTGACAACAGTGATGTTTCCCCAAATGTGGCAAGCACTCCCCCATTTTGAAGCATAAGAGATAAGGGTGCAGACTAGCTTTGTCTCACAAATTTCATGGTACAATTATTTTTGAATGGCAAATGCATATTGTAATCAGATTCATTTCTTTATGTTACACTAACTTTAACACAAACAGCAAAAATATTGTCCAGCAAGTTTTTCAGCCATTGACTAATGACAGACTTAAATAAAGAGCTAAAATAATGGAAGCTGTGAAATCATAACAGAGCATATCATGGGCCCTGCTTTATGACTTTCCAAAATTGGGTAAAAAGAAGAGATACTAGGTTTCCCTACCACTATTGCCGAGCATTTCACATACCACAGTTTGCTGTTCCTGTGCCCAGTTACCAGCAATGGGATGAAATTTTCAATATAGCTAGAATATGATCTATTCTATTGTTCAAATTGAACGTATCTTGATGGCATCAGCTATCTAACCATCCAGACACCACTTAAATCCACTTCCTCATTGTGAAAGCATAAGCACCAATAGTTTACTGTCATGATAACATATGGAGTTTATTTTTCTGTTTTGACTGAGGTACACAGCAAAAGAGAAGTGTTTGTATGAAAATTTGGGAAGAATGATCTTCAATTTTTTATATTTTATACTCATACATTACAGGTTCCAAATGGAAACAACTCGGAATTGCTCAAAGCACTTCATATCTATGAATTTGAGACACACCTCCTGATTACACAGACCTAGGTAGTTGCACAGAAACCACAGAGAATTAAGCTGAAATACTCAATTTCTCAGTTGTCACACTGATGAAACAGAAACCCTATACACAAAATCATTGAGATTCACTCAAGTAAAGATGAAAGAACATATTTCTTATGTTTCACTGATATACCATGAAAGGGAATTTTAGGCACATAACATGTGTTAAATGAATATGTGCAAATATCAATTTTAAAGAAAAGGAAACTCATTAGAGAACCT